ACTACCGCCGTCGCCGCCACCACCAGCATACTACCGCAACCACCGTCGCCGCTGCCACCACCATACCACCGCCACACCATCACACCGCCGCCGCCGCCACCACCACGACCATACCACCGCAACCACCACCGCCACCACACCACCACCGTCATACCACCACCAATTATTATTATTATTATTATTATTATTATTATTATTATTATTATTATTATTATTATTATTATTATTATTATTATATAACGAATAACACCACTACCACTACACCACCACCACCACCACCATAATATTTTTGATATATTATTAGTTTTTTTTTATTTTGAAAAACTTAACTATTTTTTATTATATTTAAAATTAATATTATATCATTACATATTATTATACATGTTGTAGTATTCTAAATAAAATAATTAAAATGTTTAATTATACAATTCTACTCATTTTCCAGAAAATGAACCAAACACAGAAAAACAGTTTTCCATAATGCAACCAAACACTGGAAAGGAAAATGTTTTCCGGAAAATGACTCATTTTCCAAAAAACATTTTCCAGAAGTCATTTTCCTGCTTTCCAAATGGACCCTTAGTAGAGTTCAAACCCTATTCAGTAGTACTATTGTGTGCTATAGTTATAGGAAACAATGAATAAGTGCATTATAACTATTCAAATAAGGTGATGGTACTTGTATTCAGACAAGTTAGTTTTAATTCCAACGTGTGACAGTGAGAATATAGGGCGGTTGTAATTAGCTGTCTCCAAATTTTTAGACTACATCCAGTTGTCTAGGCCGATCATAAAGCAGGTCTTGAGTGAGGATAGGGGCTAGTTGGATACTTGATGATCACTTCTAAGTCTATTATTCCATATTGTTTCGAGTTCAAAGTGAAGTAAATTTTATGCCTTGATTGATTGTATTTACTTCAACAGTCAATAGTACGTATTGAAATCCTAGCTCTTAGTGTCTTATTTTTCCTTTGGCAAAATCTCAATCCAGCATTATACTACAATTGGTTATTTTGTAAAATTGTGCATGTAAACCAATGCACTAAAATCCTAATATGCATTGCATTAATTACATTTTCAAAAACTTGTATATTTCAGCATATTACATTTTCCACAAATAAGTAGAGATAGTCAGATACATCAGTCTGAATTTTGACCTTTTCTTCCATCTCCCAAACCATCTATCCACGTATACCAGAGACCAAGCCAGCAAACAATTAAGAGGGAATCTGGCATTAGTCTTCTTGATTCCAAAATTTTCCCATAAATCAAAGCAAACAATTTCCTAAACTGAAAACATGTTGACAAGAATCATGGTCTTGACGATGTTTCTTTCATTTCTGGTATGTTTGTGTAGTTCCACAGACACCATTACCTTCAACCATACTCTCAAAGACGGGGATTTATTAATCTCTAATGATAAATCTTACGCTCTCGGCTTCTTCACTCCCGGAAATTCCACCTTCGGCAAGCGATACGTGGGAATATGGTTCCAAAAATTGCCAGAACGAACGGCCATTTGGGTTGCTAACAGAGACAACCCCGTCAACGGCACGTCCGGAATCCTCTTCATCCACACCACCGGAAATCTTGTCATCCAAGACAACAAAACTAATGTTTCTGTCTGGAACACAAGTCTTTCTTTTCCAAAAGCTTATTATTCTGTTCAGCTACAAGAAACTGGGAATTTGGTTTTGTATCAAGAACACCGACGGATGTGTGGGGATGTGGTACTTCCCCAACGACGATTGCGACCGGTACGGCCATTGTGGGGCGTTCGGCATTTGCGATCCCTACACTCCGGGGAAGTTTGAGTTGACGGCATATGCAAGCGCGAATATCAGCGATGGCGGAATGGGATGTGTTGGAGGATAAAATAGTATAGGGCTATTTTTGTCATCCTTCCTTCTGCTTTAACCGCTTCATATATACTTTTTCTTCTCTGTAATTGTATACGCTTTTGATGAGAAATACACAGCCTTCTTCTTCTTCTTCTTCAATCTGCTCCATCTCTGCTTCTCATTCATTGATGTAGTCCATATTCCAACATGGTATCAGAGCGGCGAGACAGCCACGCCGCCGCTGTCACCATCGTCGGAAAATCGAGTCAAAGCACGACTCATCCGGTGATGTCGATTATTAAATCCCTAATTCCGCAGAGGAAGCCAATCAATCCGATTGCTACGCAGAGTAGTCGATCAATTCCGCAGAGGAATCCAGAAGATAAGGGGACCTCCACAGTCGTTCCGCAGTGGAATGAAGGAGCACGTCCGTCGATTCCGATCAATCCGCAGAGGATTCCGAGTTTGGAGCAGGAGACGTCCGTAGCCGATCCGCAGCGGAAGGACGGACTTCTTAGTCAGAAACAGATGGAAGAATCTACAGATTCAGCCACAGCGGTTGTATTTCTTCATCTGAAATACGTTCAGAGAGCCATGGCTTTGAAGTGCGTGGACTCAATTGAGCGAGAGTTTCTGGATCAAACACCGTCATCTACGCTCCGCAGAGTGCCGGAGAAGCGGATCCCGTTGATTGGGGATTGGTTTGTTGAGATCCAAGTTGTTAGTCAAAATTTAGGCCAACAAGTCTCCGCAGCGAGGCAAAGAGAAGAGGAACTTAGAATCAAGCAACGGCAAGCCGAGGAGCAGAGTCGAATCGCATTGATTTTTTATTTTGAGAATAGGAAGCTTCTATTGATTTCTGATTTCCAGGTGTCATCATTGACGCCCTTTCTCGAATCGCATCAAACGTTTTTTGCACAAATTGCTGGATTTTTTATTGTTGAGGATCGTGTTTTGAGGATTGGTGGTAGTTTGATATCTAAAGTGGTGGTGGAGAATTTATGGGGCATTGCTCTTAGTAAGATGTGTTCTGTTTTAGAAGATCAATTTTCTAGGATGCAAACTGCTAACCATTTGCTGCTGATAAAGGACTATATATCTGAGGACCTAACTGCTGAGGGTTTGTACAACATGATGAAGGATAATGATTTGGATGACACATCACTGAGGGATGTTTGCTATGCCTTAATCATTGTGACTTTGTCTGCTAAAAATTTGATTCCAATTACTGTTGATGATGAGTATAAGGCTAGAGATGGTGGTGCCCCCACGCAGGACTGCTTGAACTATTTCTTCTGCTTTCGTTGGATTCTCATACAATTCAAAAGGGAATTTGAATTTGAGAAAACACTGCGGTTGTGGGAGGTTTTGTGGACACAGCATTTGACTGAGCATCTGCACTTTTATATATGTGTTGCAATCCTGAAAAGATACCGGAGCAAAATAATCGGAGAGAAGATGGATTTTGACACTCTACTGAAGTTTATGAATGAGCTGGGTGGTCATATTGACCTCGAAACAACCCTTAGGGATGCAGAGGCATTATGTCTTCGTGCTAGTGCTATAGAAATTCCCAATGGGATTGGTGGTAGTAGTAGTAATGTAGAGGCGTTTGCGAATGCTATGGTTAGGTTCCGTAGAGGCTGTAGATTTGAGAATGGTAGGCATAATGAGGGTCCTATGCATATCATAAGTTCTTTGGAGAATGAGATTGTGTATCCAAAGAAGTATAATCTTAACCCTGAGGTGAAGACTTTGTTGAAAAGGAATGTGGGAGTCTGTTCTGCTGGACTTAGAGAGAATACGGAACATTTAGAGATTCAGTCGCAGGCTTCCTTAGGCTCCTTGAAGATTGGAGATTCTTTGGGATTAACTGAAACAGGGGGTGACGAATCCCCGAATGTTGTGAATGATGATGATGCAATTATCTCAGTTGTATGTAAGTTTCGTAATTTGCATATTCAGAGCACAGAGGCTGCGCGTATCCAGATTGATCAGAAAGACAAGGCAATGTTAAGTTTGGAACATCAAATAAAGGATCTTGAGAGGCAGGTAAAGGAGCGTAAGCAATGGGCACACGAAAAGGCAAAACAAGCTGCGATGAAGTTGTTCAATGACATTTCAGAACTTGAGATGCTGAGGAAGGAAAGGGATGAGATTCAGCTGCTAAAGAAGGGGATGCAAGCCATTGAAGATAACTTCATGAAGAAGCTTGCGGAAATGGAGAATGAACTCCGTAAAGCTAGTGGTCAAGTAGACCGTGTAAACTCTACTGTGGAAAAGCTTGAGAATGAATATTTAGATGACCCAGATCTCTATGTTTTCCCAAATTTGAAGTATGTGGGCATTGAATTGTGGCAGGTGAAATCTGGAACTTTGTTTGACAATGTTTTGGTATGTGATGATCCTGAGTATGCAAAGAAGCTGGTTGAAGATACATGGAGCAAGAATAAGGATGCTGAGAAGGCTGCATTTGATGAGGCAGAAAAGAAGAGTATCAATAAGGAATCCAAGGATGATCAAGTTGATTCTGATGCCGAGGATGAGAATATTGTTTCTTTATATTTAAGCTGGGCATGTAGGATCTACACGCTCCAGCTTACTGGGGGGGTGTTGGAGGATAAAATAGTATAGGGCTATTTTTGTCATCCCTCCTTCTGCTTTAACCGCTTCATTTATACTTTTTATTCTCTGTAATTGTATACGCTTTTGATGAGAAATACACAGTCTTCTTCTTCTTCTTCAATCTGCTCCATCTCTGCTTCTCGTTCATTGATGTAGTCCATATTCCAACATGCATTGCTTGGTATGGAGAGTTGATAGATATGAGGGAGTTCACAAGTGGAGGCCAAGATATCTATGTTCGAGTCTCTGCATCTCATTTAGGTATGTTACTATGTTTATTACACTTTCCCGGTTATTGATGCTTAAATTTGTGTGCCCTTGTTAGACTTGAATTGAGATTTTTTTTTTTAAAAAAAAAAGTGGTAATTTCATTAGAAATAAGTCGCAATAATGTCAGGTGGGGATAGATCCCAATACATAATAGTAGACTGCTGGAACACAGAGGATGATAAAGCATGCGCTAAATAATTGTCTGATCTAGGAATAAAATTAAATGAACAGAAATCAAACGAAGTCGTAATTGTTTTGCAGCTATCAATAGCATAGCCAACGTACGAACGAACGAACTGTAGATGGTGGTGAGGTGAGATAGCGCTGTAATGACAGGCAATCTGTGTAGAGCCGTACTGAACTTTCGCCACGATTCTTTAACCATGATAAGGCTTCCTTGCACGTGAATGCTTCGGCCATGAGTGGTGAAAAACAAACCGGGAGAGGGGCACTGAATGCCGCAATATATCCCCCATTCGCATCGAGGAGCATCGCCCCTACCGTTGCCTTGCCCGAGTCGTGGAGGAAGCCGACGTCTATCCGGAAATTCCTGGGCAGTGGTACAGCTGTTGTGGCAGCAGCGGTGGTCAGCTGTTTGTGTGGCAGTGGCAGTCCCGGGTGCTCGGCTATTGGCGTGGCGGCAGCGGTGGTCCGTGCATGGCGCCATGCATGCATGGATGCGGCCATGGCTAACAATTTCCTCGGTCGTGGAAGGACAACATCCCATACTACTCCGTTCCGTGCTCTCCAAATATGGTATAAAATCGTTGTTGCATGCAATATTCCATTAGAGTCTAGAACATTTAGAAGATCAATAAACCAAATGTGAAAAACATTTGTCATAATATTGGGGATTGGAATGTTAGATTGTTCCCATATGGCTTTTGCAAAGTCACACAACACCAAAGCCTGCATAGTGTCCTCTTGAGAGATCCCACACATGGTACAATTTGGATCCACATCCACCCTCTTTATAATCAAATTTGTAGTGGTAGGGAGGATATCACTAATTGCTCTCCATATGAATGTTTTCCATTTGGGGGAATTTTGAGACTCCATAGGGTGAGCCATTTATTAAATATCCCATCACTATGCTCATAATCTCCTATGATGTGCCTATATCCACTTTTTACTGAGTAAATTCCTTTGGGGTCTCCATGCCAATACCAGGTATCATCATATTCTGGGGAAACATGTATCTTTAAAATATTTTCCACATCTGTAGGTTGGAATAAATCAGTGAGGATTGAATGATCCCACGTACCAGTGTCTTGGTCAATTAAACCCACAACTTTTGCCTCTGCCAATTGCATAGGCATCTACGTCTGTATCATAGGTTCCTGGTCATTCTGTATCCACGGATGAGCCCATATGAGTGTGGTCTCACCATTTCCAATCCTGCGCCTTACCCCACTACAAACTAGGCCTTTAGATGCCATAATACTTCGCCAGCAAAAACTGGGGTTGTTTCCTATTTCTGCATCAAAAAATGAACCCTTGGGATAATATCTAGCTTTATAAATGGAAGCCACCAAGGATTCTGGTTTAGTAAGTAGCCGCCACGCCTGTTTCCCAAGCATAGGTAAATTAAATGCCCGGAGGTCCTTGAAGCCAGGCCACCATGCTTCTTTGTCCCATGCCTTCCAGTGTATTTCCCGATCATTACCTGTCCCCCACTAATAGCGGTCCATAACTCTCTCAATAGCCGTACAAACAGATGTAGGTAGCAATAAAACACTCATTGAAAACGTAGGAATGGATTGTGCTACACTTTTCAACAAGATTTCCTTGCTTGCCTATGATAACAACTTTTTATTCCATGATCCAATCCTGTGCTTGATTTTGTCCTCAATATATGAGAAAGCCGCCTTCTTATTCCTTACAACAAAAGAGGAGAGCCCCAAATAGTTCCCAAAGTTAGGAGCCTGAACTACACCTAAGATTTGTGCCACATCGTCCCTGTCAGTCTCACTCGTATTCTTGCTGTAGCATATAATAGACTTGTGATAATTAACCACCTGTCCAGATAAATTCTCATATACAGATAAGCAATTTTTAATTTCATTGGCCTCTTGGATGTTGGCTTTGAAAAATAACAGACTATCATCAGCAAAAAACAAATGAGAGATGGGGGGAGGGGCACCTCTAGCAACCCTGCAACCATGAATAGAACCCCTAGTTTGTGTCTGTTGCAATAATAAAGAGAGACCTTCCGCACAGATAATGAAAAGATAAGGGGACAGAGGATCCCTTGTCTTAAACTACGAGTGGGTGTGACCGATAGGACACCGTGGTTACACATAACATAATTAATTCAACTCACCTATTATCAAATCCCAAAGCTAGGAGCATGTTACGCAGGAAAGACCACTCCATTCGGTCATAGGCTTTTGCCATATCTAATTTGAGAGCACTCCACCCCACACTGCTTCCTGTTCAAATAATGACCCACTTCCGCAGCTACTAAAATATTATTCGTAATAAGTCTATCTGGTATAAAGGCACTCTGCGAAGCCGATATGATTTCCTCCATTATCGGTTTCATTCTATTAGTCATTACCTTCGCCATGATCCTATAAACCACATTACTGAGGGCTATGGGTCTAAGATCAGTCACTAACTCCGGAATAATTTTCTTTGGGATTAAAACAACATCTGTTTTATTTAGTCCCCGTGTCCCGTTGTACCCCGTTTGACGTGTATGAGTCTCATTTGATGTTTCGAATACCTTTATAGGAATTTATGTGTAGTACGTATCGTTGTTATTATGCCTTGATTATTGTTGATTGATTATGTGTTGACTGATTGAATGATGATGGGTATCGTGGTCATTGCGCAATGATCGATGTGATTGATGATGATGAGATTGTGATTGGTGGAAATGAATTGTTGGCGGAAAGCACAATGAGTGCTCGGTTATCGTGCTAAAGGCACGGACCACCCCTTAGACTTGCTGGTTAAAGGCTTAGGTCAGGGTATAAGCGTCGTGGTGTCATGTTAGAGCTATATGCGCTAACCCCTTGGTATTGGTACTAGAGGTACGGACCATGCAAATGACACTTCGGTGCTACCTTGTTGGTGGACTTGTTGGTGGTTACGGAGTGGAGCATGTAGTTGCTCTAGAGGAATAAGGAATGAGGGATAAGGGTGGCCTGGAGGTACAGGTTGGAACTGAAATAAGGATGGAGTGGAGTGAAAAGGTTGGAACTTGGTATAAGGTTGGAAGATGGATCATGTGCTTGATGATTACTTGTTAATTGATTGTCTTTGAATCCAATTGTTGCCTTTAATTGCTATTTATGAGCTTACTTGCCTATTATGCCTTGTCATGTGTTCTTTGGATGCATGCTAGTCTTTATGATTGTTCTATAATGTCGAGTCTGTTGTTGTGTCTCAAGTCTTGATTTTGGTTTAAAGCTAGAGTTGCTTAGGTTATATATGTATTCCAGTTTCAAAATGATTTCCTATACTTATACTTATTGTACTCAACGCGTGGGAGTGGGTTACCAGCATTATTCGCTAATGCATGTTTTTCAGGTACTGACCAGTAGTTTCGGAGTGCGCTAGACGGACCCGCAGATTTAGCATTAGTTAGTTCTAGTCATAGTTGCTATGGCCTGTGTGCCTGGAATTGTATTTGAATATTAATTGTGAATTATGCTTAGATTAGTTAGTTGTAGCCTGTGCATCTAGGTTCTCAAACCTAGGTGTGGCATAGTACCCCGACTCTTATGATTAGTTTATGCTCTGTTCGGATGATTAATAATAGATTTACCTTGATTTCATAAGCTTTAAATGTTTTAAAAATTAGGGGTGTTACAGCTGCGGTGCCATGTTAGAGCTATATGCGCTAACCCCTTGGTAGTGGTGCTAGAGGCACGGATCATGCGAATGGTACTGCGGAGCTATCTAATTTGTTGGTGGTTTTGTTGGTGGTATGTCGGTGGGGAGCCATGAAGTGCTCCGGAGGGATAAGGGAGGCGATATAAGGGTGGCTTGGAGGTACAGGTTGGAACTTATATAAGGATGGAGAGGAGTAAAGGTTGGAACTGGGTATAAGGTTGGAACATGGATAAGTTGTTGTTGCTGTTGATTGTTATGTTGTTCTATTGTTGTTATTACTTATTACTGTTGAGCATTGCTATCATCTTGTCTTGTGTTCTTAGGATGCATGCTAGTCTTTATGTTGTTCTATAGTGTCAAGTCTGTTGTTGTGGCCTGAGTCTTGATCTGGGTTTAAAGCTAGAGTCTCTTAGGATTATATATGTATTCCAGTCCCAAAATGGTTTTCTTATATCTACTTATATTGTACTTAACGCGTGGGAGTGGGTTACCAGCATTATTCGCTGACGATTGTTACACCGCATGTTTTTTAGGTACTGACGAGTAGCTTCGGAGGGTGCTAGTTGAATCTGTGGACTTAATTTAGATAGTTCTAGCTCTGATTAGATAGCCCGCGTGACTTGGTTTGTATTTGGATATTATCTGTGGTTTATGCCTTGTTTAGTTAGTTTAGCCTGTGCATCTAAACTCTCTAGCTTGGATGTGGCATAGCACCCTGACTCTTATGCTTAGTTTATGCTCTGTTTGGGAATTAATGTTAGATTCATCTTTATTTCATAAGCTTTAAATGTTTTAAAAAATTAGGGGTGTTACAGATAGTCTACCCTCAAATGTTCTCACTGCAGTCTACTCCGTTATTTTTCGCTTGGCCTCAAGTATCTGGCCTCAAATGTTCTCATTGCAGTCTCTACACACTGTGAATAAGAAGATGACCTTTCTTCTGTACAAGGATCGTCATCACATGCCAGTTGATCTCGGTTATTTGATCTATCATCACATTACGAGTTTTTCTAAGAAGAAAGAGGCAAAGATTCACCTTCCCTTTTCCTTGTCTGATCACTAGAGTTCTACTACAGCAAGGCCTAAAATTGTATTCACATGAGCATCTCTGTCAGGTAACCCACAAATATGCCATGGACTCTCGGCTGTTTCAGGGAATTCACTATGATGACAGGTCCACCCTCTCCTCCATTCCTGCTCCAGTTTCGGCTGCTCCAGCCACCACAGCCTCCGGTTCTTCCTCAGCTCAACCTCAAGATGCCTATATTCCTACTGCATCACCAGCGCTGCTAGCTCTTCATCAGCAAGCTGTATTCCTCATAACTCAAATCTCAGGCTTGAAAACTACTGCTGCCTCACTTCAGACTACCATCTCCAATGCCGAAGATTAGCTACTCTGCAACGTCATATTGCCGTGCTGGAAGAAGCTTCTGACCCTGCTCCAGCTACTGAAGATGATGCCAACAACTCCTCCTCCCAGTTCTGATGCCTCAATGCTCTTTGTCCATTAGCTTTCCAAAAAGGGAGAGTGTTGCAGTTAGGGGGAGTATGGTTGACTAACGATGAGTGCCATAGAACTGGAATCTAAGTGCTTATCTTTTTGGTTGTTTTTGCTATTTGCTAGTTGCTAGTTTTATTGATTGTCTTGTTTTGCTCTATGGTTTGCTTGCTTATATGAAAAATGGTGTCTTTGTGTGACTTATGTGCAACTACTTATCTTTGTGCTTTATGTGTTATGTGTGTTTGCAAGTTCTCTGGCACATCATTGTTTGTCACAAGAAGTGGATGGGTATATGAATTTTTTTTCTAGATTCAAACGATGTTTGTGTTGAACTACTCTTGGCGGTTGACTGATCTAACTCCTGTGTCTAAAAATCTGTAAGCAAGTTTACTCAATTGGCAAGTTATGTTTATTTATATAAGCCGTTGGGTTCATTTGGTTGTCATTGGTTTTTTGTCAACTAATAGCCAAATGGGGAGATTGAAAGTGTAAAAATGTTATAAATTAACCCACTTAAAGTTGGCTCAAATTAGTTGTCAAAATTGTTAGTGGATTAGTTACTGGAGCTAGTCCAGCGTTTGTGGTAGTTGAGTCTGGATCAGCAAAAGGAGGTAAGCCAGAAGAAGTGAAACTCGTTCAACACTTTATTTCAATCAAGACCCTATTCACAAGGTGTTTTAAATCAAGAGGAGCAGCTGAGTTTGAGGAATTAAAGATAATATTACCCATGTTAAAATGGGGAGTAAAATTTTCTGGTAAAAATTGAACGGAAAATGCACCGGGATGACCAAATTTGCTAAGAAAGTCATAGTCGTGGATCAATTCTACAAGTTTTAAAAATTGTGGATCAAAGTTGTTAGTGACACCAAAGTTGTGGGACCAAAAGTGCAAAAAAAACTCGCTCGAAATATATGTTATGAAAAGTCAAAGTGTGGCATGAATAATCCGATATAGTTCATGGTGCGGGATGACACTTTAGCCTCAATTAAATTCAATCCGCTGCACTTGTATTTGTTCTTCTTTCCACAAACAATTTCCAACATCAAAACACCAAAATTGAATAAATCAAATTTTACAGAAAAGTGACCATCCATTGCATATTCCGGTGACATATAACCACTACAAAATAATATTTAACATTATAGTCTTAAATGTCAATATGTTTATGATATCCATACACAATTAGTAAGGAGAAACACTCACTAATACCCAACTACTCGATTTGTGTTTGCTTCAACTTGTTCTTCTTTAAAAATTCTAGTCACTCCAAAATCAAATATTTTTGATTGCATGGAGGTATCTAACAAAACATTGCTAGCTTTTAAATCCCTGTGAATGATTTTTAATCTACAATCTTGATGAAGATATAAATCCCTTGAGCAATTCTCGAGAAAATTTCAAAACGCTTTCTCCAATCCAAAGACATCCGCTCTCTATTATCTGCAAAATCATTAAATAAAGTTGTTCATGTAATATTACAATGAGCTAGATGAAGTATTGTTTAGCCTTAGCTGGTGTGTATTTACCGAAGATGAAACTGTCGAGGTTTTTGTTAGGCAAGTACTCATACACCAACATTACTATACCAAATACGTTATTTAGCGGTGGATTTAATGTTGTTTAGTTGCGGTTTAAAACCACCGCGACTGTATTTCCTGGTGGTTATTCAACCGTGACTAAATAGTGTATCGCAAAGGTTTTAGCGGAAATTTTTTATAACCACAGGAATTAGCGTTATCAATTATTTCTTGGCGGCTTCCTAACCGCCCCGAATAATAAGCTAATTTTGTTTAGAGTTTACTTACCTAATTGTTGCTAAATATTTTATTTATTTTTTACTTTAAATATTAGCGACGGTTGTATAACCGTCGCTAAAATATGATTTTATTTTAAAATTATTTTCTTATCTAATTGTAGTGACATTTTCGAATTAGCTTTTAAATTTTCATAATAATTTATTTTTATTTTATGAATTATAGAAAATTAATATATAAAAACCGTAAATATACGTATACACAACATGGGGTAAACATAATACAATACATGATCCCAGAAATTAAAATAATGGTCATAATATATATATATATATATATATATATATATATATATATATATATATATATATATATATAACAGACTCATAAATAAGTAAAGGAATTAATTTTTTTAAGTTAATTACTGAAATGGTCCCTTGACTATAGCGAAATTACAAATTTGGTCCTTGACTATTTTTTTAACCAATTAAGTCCCTCAATTTTAAAAATCTTAACCAATTTGGTCCTTCGTTTGTTTGACCATTAGTCAATCGTTAATTTGGGACAAAATTGGTAATTTTGCTATAGTTAAGGGACCATTTTGGTAATTAACTTTTGGAGTGGGAAATTCGGTTCAGTTTTCTCGAACCGAACCGTACCAAACCGAACTGAACTAGTTTGGTTCGGTAATATATCGAACAAACGAACGGTATTGAATTCTTGTATACCGAACGGTTCGTTAAAAAACCGATCCGAATTGTTCTGTAAAAAATTGAAGTGAACCGAATATCTTTTGATTTCTCTATGGTTTGTTATCAAAAGTATTATATTATGTGTTATGGTGTTTACATAGTCCATGTCCAAAGTCTAATATATAACAAAATAACAATCCAAAGTTCAAACGGTATTCGGTTCGGTTCGGTTTTTACCGAACAATTCAGTTCGGTTCGAGTTTTTACCGAACCGTTCGGTATACAAGAATCTATTATCGTACAGTTGTTTGGTATATTACCAAATCTAACTAGTTTGGTACGGTTTGGTTCGAGAAAACTGAACCGAATTGCCCACCCTTAAAGTTAATTACCAAAATGGTCCCTTGACTATAGCAAATTATCAGTTTGGTCCCAAGTTAACGATTGACTAACGGTCAAACAAACGGAGAACCAAATTGGTTAAGATTTTTAAAGTTGAGGGACTTAATTGGTCAAAAAAATAGTCAAGTACCAAATTGATAATTTCGCTACAGTCAAGGGACCATTTCGGTAATTAACTCATTTTTTTTATAAAATAGTTATTTATAGAAGAGTTAATGTCATATGAGATCATCTGTGTATAATGATTTGTTTACGTTTAGTCCTAAAATTTCAAATTATTATCATTCATGATCCAAATTAATTATTCATAATCCTTCACCTATCGAATTTTAACCATCCGTGGTCTTTCTAGGAGGACTAGCGCTGGTTAAATTTACCTCGGGGCTTAACCTAGTTAGTTCGTAGCCGGACTTAAGTCATGTCGAGATGCAAGTGTGAGAGTTCGAATCCCACTGAAAATATGTATGGGAAAAAGACTCAAGGATGATGGAAGGTTTGAATTAGATCCCTTGTACCCATATGAAGACTAAGATCTAACCAGTGGGCTGATTGCGCGACTCGTGGTTTACCTCTGCAGTGACTCTAGGGACGGGCAATCGTTATACCATAGACCAGGGTCCAGAGTGCACTGTGGACCCTGGTCCTAAACAACGTACTTTTGAATTTTTAATTTTTGACGGTGACCGTTTGTTGTTCAATTCACGTTGCAGGTTTATTTATTTATTTAATTTTACTGTAAAGCATATGTATGTGTCTTTTGTTATGTGTTTCTGTGTCTCATGTTATGCAATTGTGTACCTTAAGCGTATGATTTCTGCACATGAATAAAGTAAATAACATGCGTCTTTTTGTTTTGTGCTATGCGTTTCAGTGTCTTGTGTTATGCGTTTTTGTGTCTTATGTTATATAATTCTGTACCTTAAGCATATTGATTTCGTACCTGAATTGAACTATAGTAAATATAAAACCTTTGTATGTGTCTTGACTTGTGTTATGCGTTTCTGTGTCTTATGTTATGTAATTTCGTACCTTAAGGGTATAGATTCTGTACCTGAAATAGATTAGTAGTTGTGTAACACACAACATATTTTGTGTGTCTTATTTTACGAATTTATGTCTTGTATTATGAAATTATATGCCTATAGGACATATATTATCTATATAAATTAGATTTGAGAATAAGTAAATATAACATGTATATGTATCTTGTGTTGTGAGTTTTTGTGTATCATGTTATTAAATTTTGTACCTTAAGAGTATTGATTTTGTGTCTAGAATAAATTAAAATTTATATTGAAAATGAGAAATGAAAAACTACAAAATTTGTTAAATATCAAAACAATGTTGTTTTGATCCAGGATTCACAATGTTATGTGGACTAGGGTCCACGATATAAATTACCTAGAGATGGTATCTTGCAAGTTTAGAATTAATTAGTTCAACAAAACTCAGATTGCCTAAGTTTAAACCAAAAATAAAAATAAAAAAAATTAGTCGTATTGTTATTCTTTTTAAACATGATAATAAAAATTCCCACGCACCCATAATTCATCTATCAGAATGGCACATTCCCTTTCCTTCTCCCTCCGACCAACTCCCGCTTTCGTCCCACCACCATCCGCTAAACTCCACAATCCAACCTTCGCCTTCACAATCAAACCTAAACGAATTCTTCTCCGCCACTCAAAACCCAGCATTTTGGTTTCCACGCCCAAAAGTGGCCGCCTCAGGGCCACCCAGGACCCGGAATCCAATGGAAACCCCCAAGAAGACCCGCCACAATCAACAACCATAGATGCCCAGAGTGCTGGCGATAGCGGCGACGAGGCGTCGCGTTTGGGTTCAGAAATAAGGAAGGCGATGGAGGAGAGGGAGCAGAAGGAGGCGAGTTTCTGGGACGGAGTGGCGGAGGAGATCAGGGAGATTGAGTGGCCGGCTTTGGGTAAGGTTCTGGGTACTACTGGGGTGGTGTTGGGGGTTATGGCTGGATCCAGTGTCGTTTTGCTCACTGTCAATGCCGTTTTGGCCGAGCTCTCTGATCGGGTGTTCGCCGGAAAGGGAGTCCAAGATTTCTTCGGCTGAAGTCTGAACTCTGAAGATAAGGTTTCGCTTTTGATCTGCTGAGGTGAGGTGTAGCTGCTTGTTATGCGCTTCATGAGGGACAAATTTGGGATCCTCAATTACACTTTAAAATTTTTCTGATTATTGGTTTCTCACTTTCTCACTTTGTGTGTTAAAAGATATCAGATTTTTGCTAAGGGCGAGTCTCACGGCCTTATGAGTTTTAATTCGTCAGACGAGTTACATCTATTAAAAATGAGTTATAAAAGAATTGTGATATAATCAAATACTTAAAATCTTGTATATATGGAGTAATATTTTATATCATAAATGTAATAGTTTATAACAAAATTGTATTCCGTTAAGATAATTTGTAAAAAATAAAATAAAGTACTCCGTAACAAATTATATATATCGTCAATATTTTAAGTCTTATCTATAATACTTTATATTAGAAATGTAGGTTTTATAGGAAAAGGAAAATAGATAATTTGTAAGAAAATAAAGTATCATGGTAAAATTGTAGATACAAATAATACTTTCTTTAAGTCTTATATATAATATATAATATTATAGCATAAATATAATACTTTATAGAAAAAATATAATAAACAGTTTACAAGAAATAATATTACTAAATCCATTTATAATAATACACAAATTTTTTTTATTTGACTCATCTCACAAATTGAGACCCGTGATTCAGTCTTAAAGAAAAAATTTTCATTTTTTCTTCTTTTAAATTTTTCAGTTTTTAGATATGTCATATGTGCAAGTTGTATAAGGCTAAGCTTATCACTATACTACTTTCACACATTGGGAAAATGATCAACTACAACCTCGGACATCCTCAATAGTGGAGGTTTTTGTGTAATTTTTGAGATGCTAAGTAGAAAAGAGAAGAGGGAAAGAGAAGAAGGAAAAAAAGAAAAAAAAAAAAAAAGAAAAGAAAATTTCTGACGCAAAGTAAAAAAAAAAAAAAAAAAAAACCAGAAACAACACTACATGACGCGTCAGGTTGGCGTTGTGTTACGCACGCCACTTTTCTTTATTTCAGATGGGTCCCACATTCTGAAAAAACTAAGGTACATGTAAGGAGAACTTTGCATTTCTCTCTCCTCATATTTTCTCTTCTAACTCAGCCATATTTTCCTTAAACAAAATAAAATTTTATTATGATACAATTATAGAGGAGATTTGGGCTTTGTGGATTTTCCCCTAATGGAGAGAGGAGCATTCTTTTTGGATATTTCACTTGTTTCCTTTGCTTGGACAAATTATTCTGTGAACTAACATCTACTTTATTTTGTGAACCTGATTCAAAACTAACTTTCAAAGTTTGTGCATACAGTCCACACATTCTATACCTACACTTAATTGTTTTTGTACTTATAAACAAATTAAAGGACACAACATATAATTATAGACACAAACTATTAATTGCAGGTACATAATATGTTAACTGCAAACACATAACATGTTAACCAACATCTCAATTAATATATTTTATACCCACAAATAACAATTTATATGTCTGTAATTAGCATTTTGTAACTATAATTATTGTGTTGTGCCTTCAATTTGTTTGTAAGTACAGAAATGATTAATTGCAAATACAAAATGTGTTAAAGACACATAATTTTTGAACCAAAGTTCACAATGCAATATAAATCATGATCCATGGTATAACAATTGCTTCACCCCAACAATATCCTAAAAGCATAAACCAAAGATGTTCATAAAATTTAGCATTATTGTGATGGAAAAGATCATTGCAATCTGCAGAGGCAAAAGTGAAGTCTCTATGGATATGCACATGTCCACTACATACATTCACAACCAGGATTATATTTTGATAAGAAAAGTAGCATCTTTATTTCAAACGGGGTTTTATGTTGCTGTTGACATGGTGCAGATCCAGTTCCATTACCTAAATGTGTTCTTCACAAAAAAAAAAAAACAAAACAGAAACAGAAACAGGCTGCTGCAATAGCTCAGAATTTGATGTGCGTCAAGTGAAGACAATACGAGTCTGTAGTGCCATACAAGAAATTCAAGACTCAAAGGTCATGTTTTCTGCTTCCCGTCTGACCGACTCAAAGAGCACAGAAGAAAGATATCGCTCTCCAAAGCTTGGAAAAACAACCTGCCACAAGATTGCAAATGACTTTAGTTGTTCAAAATTAAACCAAGAGACTATATATATATATATATATATCTATATAATTAATTGTCAAACTTCTGGGGCTCAAATTCTTGGGTCTGTGTGGTCTCACATACCACCCTCTAATCACAGACAGACCCACTACCCTTTAGTGTGGGCCATGTTTACCGCTCAATATCATCTTTGGTCTGCTTGGCTTTTTACTGCTTATGTTACTATAATAAGAGATGCATCAAATATTACAATTAGAACACCTTAATACTATATTCTGTATAATTTACTTCTTTTAATGCTTTTCACAGCAGGTGTTCATTGTGTAAATGCATTCTGATGTTCATAGATGTTGGGCAGAGGCGGGTAAAGGGCCAAGTCTAGCAATTGGTAGCTAGGAGATTGTTGGGCAGAGGCCGGAGGCCAGTGAAGGGCCAAGTCCAGCACCCTGTAGTGGCAGTATATAAGGAAATAAAGTTGTGCCTTTGTTGTGAGCTATATAGCTTTTGGCTTAGTAGTAAGCACTTGATCCTAACAATAGCCAATTCAGTTGAAGAAATAACCATACAAAGCATCATTTTACGTGAACAAAGCAGTGCATCAACTATGCTTATGGTTTTAACAATTATGTAGATATAACTACTCTCAATGCCCAAATTTGTTGTTCTGCAAGAATAGTATGGCATAAAATATAACGAGACTTACAACAATTAGTTTCCCAGCATTCTCTGACCGCTTTGCAATTTTAATTGCAGCTGCTGCTGCAGCGCCTGATGATATTCCCACCTGCAGTGCACACTCTCATGTTAAAATTCACACAAGAAAAGTGCAAGACTTTAGTATAAAATGCATAAAACGTAAAATCATTGATACTTTCAACACGTACAGACTAGGTGAGTTTATGGCATTGGAACTTACAAGTAACCCTTCTTTCACAGCAAGCAACTTTGCAGTTTCTATGGCTTCATCACTTGAAATCTGATTCATTATACAATATCACAATTCAAAAAGCACTATCTTTCAGAAGCTAGCCATGTAATGCCAAAAGATTGTTACTATTAAAAAGTTATCACGTGAGAAGAAAATCAATAAATAATTCACCCAAATGCTTTCATCAGAAAAAAAAATTCATATCTTACTTGAATTACTTCATCAAGAAGATTAACTTCCAAAACTCCAGGAACGAAACCAGCTCCAATTCCCTGGATCTTGTGTGGACCTTATGCATTAAATCAAAATCAGATGTCTAAGTTCACTTTAAAAAAAAAATCAAGATTTTGAACTCTCAAGAACGAAGTTATTCAACAAAGGCATTTAAAAAAGGCAAAAACTTGTGTGAAGATCCGTGAGATGGGTCGGGTCAAGATGAAAATATAATACTTATACTTAAAAATGTAATACTAATCAGGAATAAAGTGTTTATTACTTATATGAGAAAGTGTAATACTTTTGAAGAAAAATATAATACTTTTACATTTTAATTTAAAAGTATTGCATTTTCTCGTATAAGTAACAACCGCTTGCCAACATTACTTATAAGGAAAAGCGTAATACTTTTGATAAAAAATGTAATACTTTTACATCAAAATGTAAGTATTATATTTTTCTCAAAAGTATTATTTTTCCCTTATAAGTAAGAGACACTTTATTCTTGATTAGTATTACACTTTTCAGTATAAGTATCCGTGAAACGGTCTCACACAAGTGTGAACTTTTAAAAAATGCAAAGAAAAGTGAACAATAAGAAGAAAATTGAATGCACAGAGGCTCTGCAATAATTTACAAACGCAATCCGTCTTTTGTGTGTGTGCTGGTGTTTTTCTTCTTTTAATCTTTGGCTGGATGAGCCCCAGGGGGAGGGGGAGGTAGGATATATTGCAATAGGGTGCCATTGACCTTAACTGTAGCCATGCGTGGAACTAATATTGTGCTTAGTTAATTTTCTCCAATTTATTTTTAACCTTCCCAACAATACATGAATACATTCTTTAGGTAAGCTATTATGCTAAATTTATATTTTTAAGGAGGAAAGGTTAATCTTATATATTAAGAATGGTAATTTTTCTATTCCCCATTGAACAACATCAGGCAATAATGACATTACAGGATTCCTTAGTCAACCAACATTTTATCAAAATGTTTCACTTTAAAATTATGTACTTCACACAGTATCTGTATGGTGTGATCTATAAGAAAGAACACCATATGAAAAATGTAGAGAACGGGAAACAAAAGCTCACCGGGCTTTCCTCCATTAAGAATAGGACTTTCAGCTGGTTCCACTCCATAGAGCTAAATGAAATTAAGAAAAAGAATGATTAATTTGAAAGAAAACAAGGACAACTTATAACCGAGCAACACTTCAAATTTGCTTCAATACAATAGACAACCAAAGCAATCGTTCCAACTGAAAATCAAAGCTAACCTTTATGTTGGGGTTCTGTTCCCTAAGGAATTTGCCTACACCAGTTACTGTGCCTCCCGTACCAATTCCAGAGACAAGGGCATCAATTTTCCCATTTGATCCCTTCCAAATTTCTGGTCCAGTGGTCTCATAGTGTATCTATGAAAAAGAATACCAAAATAAACAATATACTCTCCACCATTAATAAGAACAAAGTTCTCAAGCATGGCAATAATAGAGTCAATACCTTTGGGTTGGCAGGGTTATCAAACTGCTGAAGAATGTAGGAATTAGGTGTTTTGGCCTTTATCTCTTCAGCCTTCTGAATAGCGCCTTTCATTCCTTTAGCAGGATCAGTGAGCACCAACTCAGCACCAAAAGCACGGAGAATAATTCTTCTCTCGAGGCTCATAGAAGCAGGCATTGTTATGATAAGACGATAGCGCTTAGCAGCAGCCATAAATGCCAGCCCTATACCAGTGTTTCCACTTGTAGGTTCAATGAGGACACTCTTCAGCAAGAAAAATAGTAATAGATTAGATTTTGATGGAAAATCTAGATTGAATTAATACATCAAGAAATAAAAAAGTCGACCTGCCTTGTCTGTTAAGGCCATCAATGATGGAAAACTATTGGACCAGTCCAAAGTTCATGCATATTGGAAAGTTAAACAATTAACTAAAGCGAAATTGTTCTAAAATTGAAGATATCTATCCTAATACTTACCTCTCCTGGTT